GAAGCTATTCTATTAATACTTAATTAATTAAATTCTATTCTTTTCTTCATCAAAATAAAGTCACTCAAATTATTAGAATTATTGATGTATATAATTGTTGTTAATGTTTATATAATTCAAAGCATCGACTTTCCATTTCACTATTTATTGATATATCATTTCTTCTTGATAAACATCAGCATTGAAAATGATTTTTATCTTATTTTACTATTTATTGATTGAATAATAACTGATGTTAGTGAATAAATATCTTTTAAAACATTCATATTTTATGTTACTACCAGAAGACAAACATTATATCATTCAACGATTAATAATCATAAAAACATGAATATTCAACTGATTTAACTTCTATCGGTATTGTATTTCATTATTCTATCATATTTGTATGTTGTATATTTTTAATTTACTCTTTTCTTCTTTCTCTTTTAAATATATTGATTATTTTAATTCATACATTATCACTTATTTATTCTTCTATCTTCAATTATTTTATATTCTTCATTATAATATGAAATTATACAATAGTATCAAATAATATTTTTGAATAAAGATTTAATGAAAATTAAAATGAATTTGTACATTTTTCATTGAAATATTTTAATTCCATTTCTAAATTAATAAATCATTAATATTATTAAAATTCATAATTATTATTGAGTTAAATCGTTGTTTCATTCCTTCTTTATTATTTTATTTTTGAACTTCTTTTATTTTTGATATTATCTTTTCTTCATTTTTATTATTAATTTATCATTAAAAATAACCTATTTATGATAAATATGTTGATTATACTTTCTTTATATTGAGAAATGAATGTTTTATTTTCTTCATTATGTTTTATTTCTTTTGTTTTAATGTATTTTCAAACATTATAAATTAATTATTCTTCAATTAAGTTATTTGACTTTTATTTTGTTTTAATTAATTATTAAAAAGACTCATTCTTTATATTGTTACTTTGAGAAGAAATAGTCATTAACACATCGTTTTGTTTCATCTTCAATATAAATACTCGTTTATAATTCTCTTCTTCTTGATAACACTAATCTATGTTCAGTTTATAACAATCATTATTTAAGATGCATCCAATTTGTTTATTAATACTTCAATATTATTAAATATTAATAAGTAAAACTTTGTCATATTAAATAACTAATCTGATACCATATTAAATATAATAAATAATACCACTTTCATAATCATCATTTCATTATTATTCACTTATAATAGATATTAATAAACATCAACTAATTGGTATTAAATGAATGTTGTTTCACAAAATAAAATATCATAATCAAATGGTAATAGCTAATAACTCAATGTTGCATTTTTATTAATATTTGTGTGTGTTTATGACATACAATCTTCAAATCTAAGAATAAAAAAGTTAATAAAATAAAAACAAAAAACTCAAAAATATTAAAAAATGAAAATTGAAGAATTTGCTAGTTTATTTGAAAAATATTATCCAAAACAATTAGCAGAAAATTGGGATAATACAGGAATACTTGTTAATTCAGAAGAAGAATTTAGTTTAGTGCTTGTTTGTATTGATATAACTGAATCAGTTATTGATGAAGCAATAAACAAAAAATGCAAAGCTATTCTTTCATATCACCCAACTTTATTTAAATCTTTTAAAAAACTTGTTCCTGAAACTCGTTCTCAAAAACTTGCTCTTCGATTGTTAAAAAATGGAATTAGTGTTTATTCACCACATTCTGCTTTAGACTCCGTTAATGGTGGAATTAATGACTGGCTTGCTTCTCTTGTTTTAAATGAACCTGTTTCATTAACGTCAGTACCAAAGAATACTACAGCAATTGAACCTAGCCAAAGCGATATTTCAATTGGAAGTGGTAGATATGTTACATACGATACTCCAATTACTATTGATGAGTTTATTGATCGAATTAAAAATGGGTTAGATGTTCCTTTAAGGTATGCCATCCCTTCTACTAAAAAAGAAATTAAAACAGTTGCAATTTGTTGTGGAAGTGGATCTATGATGTTTGCTAATAAATGTGCTGATGCAGTTTTAACTGGTGAAATGGGTCATCATGAAGTTCTTGAACACTTAGAATGGAATACTGCTGTTGTTTTATCTGAACATACAAATACCGAAAGAGGTTATTTAAAACATTGGATTCCTAGACTTTCAGAGTTGTTCCCATCAGTCACTTTTTACCAATCAGAATGTGATGTTAGTCCATTAGTTTATATGGTCTAGTCTTGATAAAACAAAACACAGAAATAAATGAATTAATGAAGTAAGTTTTAGTCTTAACACGCTTTTTCATTTATAATTATTGGTTGTTCTTCAACTTCATTTGTTTGAGTAGTATCATCTTCTTTTTTCCAATATGACTCTAATCCTTTGTACAAATTATCAACTTTAACAGCACTTTTAATCATCCAATCCCCTGTGATATATGCCGCAATAGTCTCTGAGGTATAAACACCAAAGCCTGTATTTATTGTTTTTCCGGGATGTTTAATATTAAATTTTAATGCTTTATCTACAACAACATGTTCTTTCCATTCTTGGAATGATGGTGCAGCTAACCACTCCTTTAAAAATTCCATTCCATATTCACTAGCAGGGGTTGAGGCTATTTCATTCCAAGAAACAATGGAAATTTTTTTAGCAAATGGAGTTATTGTATTTAACAGCCCTTGATAATACCATTCAATCATTTGTATTATACTAATAATATTTTTACGTTGATAAGCCTCTTTCATTCTTACAATTAATAATTTATCCTCTCTGGTATCAGCAATTACACCCTGAATTTCTTTTTGACAAGAAACTTTATTTGTGTCAAGATTAATCACAACATCCCAATCCTTTGTTAATTCACTGAATATTGGATTTGACGTTCCAATTATATAGCCTTCTGTTCCAATAATTTTGTCAATCAAACTTCCTGGGAAGTGTGGAATAATAGGATGATTTGCGGTGTCAAGTTGTAATGGAAATCCAAGAGCTTCATTTGATTCTCTATTTGGTTTAACAAATACACCTGGAATAGAACACATTAAGAATAGAATAGACAACGATGAATCTGATGGTTTTGATGAATAAACAACTGTTTTAAATGGAAGCAATAATAATTTCATTAGTTTAATAATAGAAGAAAACAAATTTTCTGGTGGGATAATTGGTTCTGGTTTCAATGGAGAGTTATTCATAGAAGTATAAATTGACGTTAATAATTGTGGACTTGGATGTGAAAACAATGGGTAGTATGCTTTTAACAATTGTGATAATGGATTAAAAGAAAGAGAGTTCGTTAATAATACAAGACAGTGTGATGGATAAATCATTGATATTCCAAACATTCTTTGTACTGGAGAATTTGATGGAACAACAAAATAACATGGGTTACTTTCAGTGTCAGGGAATGCAAGAGTTGGTAAAATATCAAACATATAAGGAGAGTCTTGAGGAAGAGGTGGATAGGCATAAATTTTATTTTCACCACGAGGGATATAGACTAAACTAGTAATAATTTGTGTCATTTCAATAACTTTGATCATTTTTAAGATGAAAATTTTCAAGTTACTATCTCATCCATTGATGACAGATAAAAAACGCATTTCTCAGAAATAAAATCACTAAATGAAGAATGTTCAAATAATAACAAAACATAATTTAATAACAAAAATTTAATAATTGTATTGTATTGATGGTGATGGACGTGGTGAATATCTAACAAATCTTAATAAGGAATGTCCAACACAAAGACAGTAAGTTGAATGAGTCTTGTGGAGAGTCTTGTATTTAGAAGCAAGTCCTTTGTTCCAATAACCAAACCATTCATTAGAAGTACAAAATAACTCAACTCTGTTTAATGTATCAATACATTTGACTGGAGAAGAAAGAAGAGAAGAGACAATAATAGCAGAATATTTTGGAGTAAAATTATCTTTTTCCAATAATTGTTGTATTTCTTTTTCATGAAGAATAGTAATACTAACTTCATTACTCTGAAAGAGTAAAATGAATTGGCTTAACTTAGTTAACTCCTCTTCACTTAGTGGAGCTTTAAAATGAGTAGTCATTCTTCTAAATTTAATGACGTTTTCAATACCTCGTTGATTAACTTCTTTGACTTTAGGAAGAGAGTTTAATTGAACAGTGTGTTTAACAGAAGTAGAAATAATGAGAGGATGATGTTCTTTTGACATGATGAGATAAATTATCTCAAGAAGATGAAAAAAAAAGAAAAAACAAAAGATTTTATTCTGGAAAAAGAGCGAAGAACTAACAAATCAATAAACTTCAACTCAATGGAAAAAACAATCAAAACAAAATTAAATCAAATTTTTCAGAAATTGGCACCTAATGCTGAAATTAATTTTGATAGTTATGAACCAATTTTGCTACCTTATTATGTTGATGCTCTCGTTACTTCAAACAAACAAAGTAGTGAAGGGCAAAAATTATTACTTAAAAAATATACAGTTGCTGGAGAAACTAAAAGTGGTTTTTTAGAAAATGAATTTATTTTTACTAATGCCTTTCCATCAGTTAGAACAAATCTTGGAGCACATAGTGGTAAATATGTATTTCAAGTTATTCTCCAAACTGATGGACTTTTTCAAATAGGTATTTTTGAGAATTCAACAGTGTTTGATCGTACAAAAGGCATAGGAGATTTTACTGATTCATATGCATATGATGGATATCGTAAATGTCTTTGGAATGAAAAACAAACACCATTTGGACCAAAATGGAAGAAAGGAGATGTTGTAAGTATTTGTGTTGACTTTGATCAACGAAGAATTAAAATATTATTAAATGATCAAGACCTTGGAATTGCATTTGAGTCATTTGGAACAGAACCAATGAATAACTATTATTTTGGAGTTACTGCTTCTACAGGAGAAAAATGTATTATTAATTATGGAGAATATCCAATGTTATACAAACAACAAATAGGAGATTATTCACCTGTATGTCAACAACCAATTCAGTCCAGTTATAAAGAATGTGAAATACTTGGAAAAGCTATTATTGAATGTCTTAATGATGTTTCTAATGGATCTGTTTTAATATTAAATGCACTATTTGCAAGATATATTCCATTAATTGTAAATAGTAAAGTTTTATGTATTGAATATTTTTTACCATTATTAACTGAATGCACTCGATCAAATTCATTAGGAAGATTAGGTTCATTATTAAAACATATGGTTCATCCTACTGACCTAGAAATTATTGTTAAAACTTTAATGGAATGGTATTATATTATATCTACACATTATCAATTTAAAGATGATATAGTCATATCACTTACTAAAACACTTCTTGATATTATAAGTGAAATGATGGCAGTAGCATGTGGAGATCCTGATAAATTATATCAATTTATTGATATAATTCTATCTAAATCAACAACAGTAAGTAAATTCGATTATAAAAAAATGATTCAAGGAATTGATCTTTCACAACCACCAGAAGGATTAATGAATGATTTAGATTTAAAATATCAACAACAACTTGAACTTGATAAAAAGTTATTAAAAGCCCTTGAAACAAATCAATTATTAGATGACTTTGTAAACAATTATTCTGTGAGACATGATATAAATAAAGATATTAATAGTAATGAAGATGGAATGGAATTAACTATGAGAATAACGTATGCATTATTTTCTATGATATTAGATGAAACAAATCATTTTCAATTTAACAATGAATTTCTCATTAATACACCAAAAGAATATCCTGACTTTGATAGATTAGGAGGTACAATTAGTTATATTCAAAAAACATTTCCATTAGAAAAAAATAATGAAAGTTTTGAAACTAATAAACATATGCATCGTGCTATTCTTTTCTTTTATAATAATACCCTTCCATATTTCTTTAAAATGGAATTAGTATGTAGAAGAAATATTAGAATTATAAGTACATTAGAAAATAGTGTTGATTGGCTTAATTATTTATGGGAAGCTTCATTATTTATAATTCCTTGTAGATATCAAATTCAATTAGAAATATTTAAACAAATTGTTAATGCATTAGTCAGTACTAAAGGATTATTATATGTTCATGAACCATATATTTCTTCTATTATTTCATTATGTAAAAATTTACGTCAAAATATTTTATTTAATTATCAAAAAATTCTTATAAATGAAAACAAACAATTATTTGGTGATTTTATTAATACATTAATATCATTTTTAGGAAATACTTTCATTGTTAAACCAGGACTAAAAACAACAATGTTTATGTCCATTACTTATACAATGGCTAAAAGAATTGAATTTATTGACTGTGTCTCATTAGAAAATAAAAGAATTTTATTCAATTTTGCATTTGAGTCTTTAACAAGTGATGAAGAAGAAAGGTTCAGAAGAGCAATTACTTTTATTAGAATAGGAATGCCAATTCCTTTTTATGTATTAAAAAAGAATATTGCAGCTTATCCAAGATATCGTAAAGTATTTAGTAATTTATTACAAGAATATTTTAATGATGATAAAACAATAATGAATACTCATAATATTGTTTTTGATTATGTATCAAAGAGTTTAGATAAGATATTACTATTATTAGATAAAGAACGTCTCAGTGGACAAGAAGAAAAAATGTTTGAATCATTGTCTAGTAGTTTAATAGATGGAACAGATTTAATGGATGGATTATCATATCTCTTTGGTAAAATATATATAGACCATACACTTGCTACTAAATTTTTACAATACTTATCGTTTGTGTTATATCAATGTTCTGTAAGAAATTCTATTACAACAAGAAGAGGAAAACAAATTTATAGTATATTTTGTTCATTAAGAATATTATTATTAGATGTTCTTACACAAATTTTAAAAAGTATTCCAGAAGAAAAAAGACTTGAATGGTTATTACAAGATGGTATAATAACATTAGAAATTAATAAAGGGTTAGAAGGAATTGATTTATCTTCTTCATCAATACTTTCATTTGAAATAGAATATCCAACAACAATTTGGGATAGATGGAGACCAACTACATTTACTGATGACATTATTACTAATTTAAAAGTAGAAGAAAAACATGCATTAGAAGGAATTGATAATACTCTTAAGTTCTTAAAAAATTCATTAAATGAATTAAATAAAAAACATATAAAAAAAATAGTTATTACACCAACATTCCAAGGAAGAGCATCTAATAATTCATTTGAAATGGAAGTAGAAGAAAATGAAGATCAATTATGTTTTATTTGTTGTAGTAATCCAGCTGATACAATTATGCTTCCATGTAAACATAGTGCATGCAGAAGTTGTATTGAAAGACATATGGAACATCATAATGAATGTTTCTTCTGTAAAACAAAAATAGAAGGATTAAAGAAAAGAAGTGAAATGGGAATGGAAAATGAAAGTGCAACAAAGAATTAAGTTAGTAATTCTAATTTTTTAAAAGGTTTTTGTTTTTTATTCCCATTGAATAGCAGCAAAATTTCTAATTTGGAAAGTCTTTTGATTACCAGCAAATAAACGTTCTCCTTTATAAGTAGTGTCGTGATACATAGATGCAAATCTAATATGTTGTTTACTTGTAGTATTATTACATATTACAAAAGCATAATTTTCACAAACTTCTGTTATTTCATCATCACCTTTAATCATAATAATATTATGATTATCAACTCTTGGTTGAATCATTGTAGGTGGTACAAGGTGTGGATTTCTAAGTGTAAATATAAAATGTTTACTATCTTCATTAATCCAAGTATTTTGTTTATCTGGCATTTTACTAAAATAACCACCAAAAAGCATATTATTGTTTGTTTCACATAAAAGCATAATATGTTCTAATCCTTTAACTTTATTAAAGAATTCTTTAGCTGTAAATAAATCTTTATCGTTAAAATATGTCACTTTAAAGTCATTCATTCCAGTCCATTCTTTTAATTTTTCAAGATGCTTTGGTTGTAATGAAAGTCTATTCATTAAATGTTCTTTTCTTCCATCTTCTCCTTTATTAATCTCTTTCTTTTCTTCTTTCTCCACTTCTTTCTTTTCTTCTTTTATTGAGTCATTAGCTTTAGGAACATTTGAAACAAGAGCACTTGCTGCAGATGTCATTGTTTGAATTTCATTCTTTTCACTAACAAAATTGACAGTACCAAAATTGTTAAAAGTTTCTATTTTAATAGTTTTAATTGAGGTATCACTCATTCTTAAACAAATCTTTTTTCTTTTACAGTTCTTTTTACAAAACAAAAAAAAATTTAAAAGGAAAAACACTAATAATAAGTAACTTAATCAATAAACAATTTGTTGTTTTGTCTCACTTCAGGAGTTAATAAAATACCGTCTAATAATAGTGGATTTATATTCGACAAATTTGTTGTTCTAGGATAACAAAATAAAATAATACTATGAGAATCAAACGATGATTGAACGTTTTCAGTTACTTCATGAATATGAGGTTTAGGAGGAATTGTTACTATTTGGTTTAAAATAACAGAATTAATACTTTCTGCTATTGGTTCAAAAAATGAATTTGATGGAAAAATAACACATAAAGTCCATAGAATTAATAAGAGTCTAAGTAATATTTGAGAAATAATAAATATTGGTAATGTTTTATGAATTGCACAAAGAATAGCAATATTATCGAGGTATAAAAATATCCAAAATGTTATTAAACCACCAATTAGTAAACGAGAAATTAATATTTTACGTTTTAAATGTGAATAATTATTATTGTTATTTGTTAAAATATGAAATTGAATTACTTTAGTATTTAATGAAAGAGTTGATATTACAGTTGGAATAATAAAGAAAAATGCTATAGTCAAAGCTAATAAAATAAAAGAGTCATTAATAAAACAATAAAGTAATAAACAAACAGAAAATAATAATATTCCCATAATTAATGTTTTACAATGATTAAGTGGAATAAACTTATAAATTATTAACCAACCTTTTGTTATAAAAGTAATAAGAAGAGTTAATAAAATATCACTAAATGATTCAAGTAATTTACAAATAGTCATATATCGATATTTAGGAATTCCTGTCATATTATAATGAATATAATAATAAATATGAAGCCCTTCTTTCATACACAAAATTAACATAATTCCTACTATAATAAAATGAATAAATGATGTAGTATTATGATATATTAAATAAATAATTATTACTATTATTATTGTTATAATCCAAACAATTTCTATTGA